ATGAATATTTATTTTCATGGCATTTGATATTCAACTACATGCAGGACTTCCAGAAACAATGTCTTTGAGAAAATTTTTGGTTACGAAAGATTAGAAGAAATTAATTTATGATTAGTTATTTGGGTTTTCTTTCCTTTTTATGGCTTCTACAAATACCTGCATTAATGCCTGTGAATGATTCACCAAGCTGTGTTTATAGATTTTGGATCAGCTTCTTGTGGTCATGACAAATGATGATGTGGCTTTTTTAAAATGGGCAATTACATGCAGACCACCCAAAACTTGCTATTTACACATCGACCACCGGCTTTCATCCATTTTTCAATTTCTTACTCAAATATTAAAATTCATGGTAAAACCCCAACCCATATTTTTCATTTTTAGCAAATTCTAAAAAGTTACATAGTTTCGATATTTCAAAAAATCACATGGGTGCTTAATTTGTAAATATCAATGTTTTGAGTGGTCTGTATGTATTTATCTCCTTTTAGATATAATGTTTTGTTTTAACTAATATTTTGTTATTCGTTGCTGCTTAATAGGGCTGTCAAAAAAGCTCGTTGTTCGCGAACAGTTCGTGTTCGGTTCGTCAATGAGTTCGTGTTCGATTCGTTCGATAAGTAAACGAGACAAGCGCGAACAAATTTTTTTCGTTCGGTTAGTTAAACGAACCAAACACAAACAGTGATGCGTTCTTTCGTGTTTGAATCGTTATTGCTTGAAATATAAAATAATATAAAATAATTATATATAAATAATTTATTATATTTTAAAACATTAAATTTTATAAATTATAATATATAATAAAATAATAATAATAATATTATATATTAATATTAGGGATGTCAAACTGGCTCGTCGTTCGCGAACAGCTCGTGTTCAGTTCATGTTCGGCTCGTTCGTTAAGAAACGAACACGAGCTTATTTCAAACAAACTAAATTTTAAACGAATCGAACACGAACACAAGCTTTGTTCGTTCGTGTTCGGTTCGTTTACACCCCTACTACTTAAACCCACGTTGCCCTTTCTTTTTATTACCTTCTCAGAGCTTATAGCCCTCCTTAAGCTGTCATGTTAAATTAATTTCTGTGCTCATGATCATCATAGTTATGATTTCTTACTCTGGATTTTAGAATATGTAATCATCTACATTGATTTTTTTTTTGTTTATGAAATGCCATGCAATATCCATCTTTTCAGGTGCAATATTTTTTACTTCGTTTTGTTAACGAAGCTTCCTAAGCCTACATGCTATGTTTGTTTTCTGGAAAAAAATATTTTAAAATGTAGGTTCAAATTGGTATTTTTTTGGATTTTTTTGGGCCGTGTTCAAATATCTTGCCTTATTATAGCTGTCACCAGTTATGTTAGGAAAATAACCTAAGAAATATGGGTGTTCAAAAGTTTTCATTAATCGACATTTGTATGACTTGTTTAAACCAAATGAATAATTTTGGTGGAGGATATGCAAGAAATGCTTTTTTGAAGGTTGGATGCTTAGCGGTTGTGGTTTGGCTGGCTTGAATGTGCAGATGGTTTAATTATATTCCATTCGGATAAAAACATAACCTTCTTAGATTTGACCTAAATTATAAACTGAAAAAATACAACTAATTTCATCATTTTTTTCCGTTCTATATGTAAAAGTTTGAGAAAATTCTATGGTGATGTGTAGAGGACAACATTGGTATGTTTGAAACTGATTAAGATGCTAACATCAAGTTGCCAAAAAGCTTGAGTAGATGACTTTAAAGTTAAGGCCATTTTGTCACCGAACACAACCAACGGCAACTCTCAAGACACTATAAAGTTAATACCAATAATATATATGTTTGTTATGCTACCCCTAGTTCATGATGAAACCCAAGAAGTTTGGTTCCCAGGTTTCTGCTTTCAATCTGATGTAAAAAATACTCGCAGTGAGATTCTTGGTTGAACTCAGAAAGCTAATCCGGTTTTGCTGGAGATGTTGGGCCCTGTGTTTAAAACTTTAACCTGCTGCTGCCAGCTGTAGGATAACAGAGAAAACAAATCTAGCAGATCTAAAGTATTAATAAGATAAATGAAGATGATTAAACATGAGGAAATAGACAACCTGACTCAAAAGTGATTCTTGAGTAAAGAATTTGAAACTTTAGAACTGTAGCTGATAATCTCTAGGATGGCTGGGAATTTAGCAATCTGCATAGATATGGGAGAAAGAAATTGGTTGATAACGGTTTATCAAGAAGGAAAATAACTAAGGCTAAAACCATAAAATAGTGAACCTTATTTAAGGTCTTCTAGGTATCTAGGAATGGAGTTCTGGCTACTCCTAGGTTCTCCAGGCTGTCCTCGTACTAGTTCTGGTCCTGGCGGATTGTTTTTTATTATGGAAGGATGTCTTCATTTCTTTGTTCTCTTTCCAAGAATTGTCTTCTAGATGTTAGGAGAATGCAGACAGGATCATTTTTCTCCAATGTCATGCTGCCCGCAATCCATCTGTCAGTGCTGGTTTCTAGACAGCAGCTTTGCACTGATTTTTATCATTGGAAATCTGGCATGACGCAGGGGTGGTTGCTAAGTGCCAGAAGCGGGAGTCATGTACTTCACTATGACCATCAATCCCACCATCTGAGGTTAGGGGAAATCCACTCCACGTACAGGGAATTCTCCACTACTCAGGATATAATCTATAACATAAACTCTCCATAAAAATCCCCTTCTTACATATATTGAGTATTTATGGATGAGCTATACCTATTAACATCTAGGTCCCTTAATTACTGAAATAATCCTCTTTATGATTTTATGCAATTTAATTTTTTAAAGGCCCCTCATCTCTTCTGACTATGCCTTTCTTTTACGGTAGGAGGAGACTTGTTATGGATATCTTGTTCTTCTTTATATTCATAGTATGGTGAAAGAATGAAACATTTATGGTGGCCAAAACCTGGGCGAGTCAGTTTTGTAAAGATTGTCACCAAAAGGCTTAATGATTTGAATATAATTTTTGGTTTTAGATTTAAGTTTTGCATACACACTTGAAGAGAAACATTCCTTTTGCAAATGAGTTCAAACCTGATTGTCATCTTTATAGGAAATTGATGTTGTGCGGGATTTGTTTTGCTGCTTTCAACAATGAGCGCCTTTCTTTTTAATAATTACTCGCACTTGCCAATGTAATTTTTTATTTAATTGGACCATTTACTAGCCTTTTTGTTAAATTCTGAACTAATAATCATAGGGGTCACATCTAACAATGTGATGGGGTTCGTTTCATTAACATTTTTATAGGGGTTTTGATCCATAGTTTGATTAATAGATCTGTTATAGTTGAACTTCGGCTAAAATGAGATTCCAATGCTTTATATTTTCCTTGTCAAAACATTTTAGTATGTTTCTTCAACTTTGATTGACATTTTTTGTTCGGCCATCAGTTTGAGGTTAAGCTATTCAACGAAATGAAGTTTTGTACCCAATTTCATCCTTAAAGTTCTTCCAAAAACGGCTTAGAAATTGTATTTTGCGATCGAAAGTAATAGATTTTAGTGTTCCATCCAAGCAAATAAGCTTGCAAAATTAAAGTTTAAAAATATAAGAAGCATGTGTTTTAAGACAAGGGATAAAACATGTATTCCTAGAAAAATTGGTCTGCAACATTTATGATAATACTTAATATCATTGGGCAATTGGTAGCCCAACAATGTAATCCATATTCACATCTTTCCAAGGTGACAATTGCACAACTAAATGAGTGAATAACCTTATTTTTTGAATTCTTTTTTTAACCATATGACCAATTTGGCTTGTTTTTCTTTGAAGTTGGTCAACATCACATTAAATAGATGTCATCATGCCTGAAAATTCGTAATCGTTTTTCATGGTATTTGGATAAAATATCTTGTCACAGGAAATATAAATGAATACATATAAGATTATGGATAAACAAATATCCATCCTCAACTTGTTATAACTTTTCATTTTGTTGCTTTTTTTTCAAATCTAATTTTTCGGGATATAGCTTTTATATAATTTTGAAATTTATGATCTTGAACTTGAAGTTATTGATGACTCATGATATCTACTATTTTTTTTCCAAAACTTGACTTATGTTTTTGTTACGCCTGTGCACCAAAATCAACGAACAAACCACAATGAAATTGCAATAGATAGGTGTGGTGGTGTGTGGTGTGGTGCGGTGGTGTTGTGATTCGTCTGCTAATGTGTGTTGTGGTGGTGTGGTGTGTGGATGTGCTACTGTGGTTGCATGTGTGGAGGGTTTAGGGAAGTGTGGTGGTGTGGTGTGTGGATGTGCTATTGTGGTGTGGTGGGGTGTGTGGAGGTGCAGATGTGTGATGGTGTGGTGTGTGGATGAGTTGTTGTGGAGTGGTCTGATGGTGTGTGAATTTGTTGTTGTGGTGTGGTGGGATGTGTGGAGGTGTGGTGTGGTGGTGGGGTGTGTGTGGTGGTGTGTGTGGTGTTTGTGGTGGTGTGGTGTGTGTGGTGTTTGTGGTGGTGTGGTGTGTGAATGTGTTGTTGTGGAGTGGAGTGGCGTGGTGATGTGTGTGATGGTGTGGTGGTGTGGTGGGGTGTGTGGAGGTGTGGCGGTGTCGTGTTTGTGGTGGTGTGGTGTGTGGATGTGTTGTTGTGCTGTCCTAATGGTGTCATCTCTTATAGAGGCTGATTTTTCATTCCCATTTGATATTTTTGTAACACCACATACAGTGATCAATCTTTTAATCAGTTTTCACCATGAATGCTTAGCTAAATTAATCAGAATGAATTACGAGAGTTCTTATTATGAGCAAAAAACTCTAATATGTATGTTTTCTTGGATTTGTGTAGAGTTTCCTAGTGTAGGTGTGTGACATTTTTATTAAATTTTCCTTGGATAATTTTTTTCATTTTACAAGTAGGGTGATGGCCTTATCCAATTAAAGGATATTTCACTATTCTATTGCTTTGTTAGATTAACAATACAATTTAATGACAGAGACACTGATATTCAGAATTTCAGGCCTTCCTTGATTTTAGATGCTCTGTTATCGAAAGGCGTGCTGGATTTCAGCTTTCTCAAGCAAAAGAAAGGAGGCATATCGTGGAGGTATTATAAATTGTCGTGAAGAAAAAAGTATTAAATATTTTCAACTATGGTTTACATACTTCATGGTGGGAAATGATTCTTTTGTTTTTATCCTGATTTTGTCATCCTCAGGGAATCATCATCGGACTAGACAATTTGGATGGTGTAATCCACACAATTCGTGAAACATCAAACAATGCAATGGCTATGACCACTTTGATGAATAGTGAGAATGTTTCGTCTTGCAGTTTAAACTAAACTCCGGCTAACTTAGAGTTTCTATTTATGTTCATTTTCTTAATTATGTATGCCTCAATTAATTTGCTTCACATACCATGACATGAAATGGGGCACACTATCTTGTAGAGCTCCACTTTAGAGCTATCACGTATGATTCACAGAGCTTGTTGATATCGCTTCTTGTAATCCTTGCTTTGAACTTTTTGATGCATCTTGTCAGTTTTCAGTAGCTTATTTAATTTCTTAAACATTATTGATGCATCCTTGAGCTATGATATGCTAGAAGGATAATAAAGTTGTTGTAAAGAATATTCAACGCATAATAATGGTTATAAGGTAAATGATCTGTGATATGTAAATTATCTATAAAATGTATTTATTCTATTTTATTTATATGGATGTAGGCTATCTTTCTAGCTTTAACTGAAAAATATGATGATCTTGTGATGTTATCGAAATTGGTCTTATTCTTTTGCTGGATGTCTATAGTCATTTATCTATTTTTTAAAATGAGAACTTTATCCTGATAAAAAAATTCTCTGCTGTGTTTCAACTAGTCTACTAGAATTAGACAGCTTATATATAATTTTATATTTCTTGAGTCTATGGTTTGGATGGGAATAATACTTTGAGATCTCTTTTTTGTCAATGAAAAATTGTTGTGAAGTTTCATAATATAAAATGCAAATCAGTTAAGGTTACAGAAAGTGACATGCAAAGGCTAAGCATTAAAGTGGAAGGTTTTTTTTCCAGAATTTATGCCTAATGTTGCGTGCATAGAAATATATTGCAATATCTAGTGAGTATAGTGCTGGTACATATAATTCATTTTCGGATAGCTTTGTCTCTGTCGATGCTTCTTTCATTAATACTCATCCAATAAAAAATCAAACTTAACATAGATAGGCATCATTTGCAAAATATTATGAACAAGGAATTGGTTAACCGCAAATCCTTACAATGTATAATCCATCTGTAGCACCATTGCCGATTTGCATCTTTTGTTTTTTTTACCATCGATGACAAGTCTTAGAGACAAAATGAGAAATGAATATATCCTTGATAGGGTTGGTGTAACTCCCGTGACGGACAATTTAGATAGAGTCATCTTAGATGGTTTAGTCACATTAAATATCGACCATCTGATGATCCGATTAGGAGAGTAGATGTTTTAGATTCGACTTATGTCAAGAAAGACAGAGGTAGACTTAGGAAGACTTGGGCTTTAGGAAGACTTGGGCTGTATAAAAAATGTTCTTAATTTATTAGAACTAAATGAAAATTTGACACTAAATAAGACGCAATAGAGAAAAAGGATTCATGCAGTCAACCCCATGTAGTGGGATTAAGGATTTGTTGTTATTGTATCGATGACATGCCTGATTGATTCAATGATTACATTATCGACTACATATGTAGAGTGTCTGAGAATATCAATGTGCCATTGATTGATTAATCGCTGGACTATCTAGCATGATTATGAGCGTTGATATTATTCTTGTTACAGATTAGCATTTAGGGCGTGTAGATGAAACTAATGATTTTGTGCCTTCAACATAAATGTGCTGTTTGCATGTTCGCTTTGCCATCAAAACATCTAGTCCGTAGGCACCTCTATGGAACTCAGTATAAATATTCATCATCTGTAAATTAGTAAACTATTAATAACATGGAGTTAGTAAATCAGAAGTGTTAGAAAATTTTCTCACCTCCTACCACTATCAACATAAACTCACAAATATGCTTCTCATATTCAATCTTCTTTTCACGATAACAAGCATGAAAGATGCAGTATTACGCCTATCAAACATCAAACCCAAATGAGATTGCTTACTTACATGATGCTATTATTTTAACATGAATTTGCAATTAATCGTTAAGGGTGTAGAGTAATATTTTTTTCTAAAAAGCATAATCAATTTTTTTTATTATTAACTGTGATATATAACCACTCATTGTCATGTTCTCAAGTTAAGATTTAGTTAATCAATGGCAAATTGACATCTTGTGATTTTGCATGTACTGACTTAAAGATAAGTTGCATTTTTATAGCACTTTCCCATGAGTAATGCTTCAATCCTCTAAGAGAACAAGTCTCTCTTGAACGGCAATTATGAATTGGCTAATATAGTTTTTGATGGCTTGTTAACTTCAAATTTACTAATTTACGTGTAGGGATTAGCCTCAACATCAACAATTGCCATCTAATGATGTAATTATACCTTAGCTCTACACCCACTATATTCTTGAATAAGACATTCCAACAAAATATTATATCTGAGGTTCAGCATGTCACACCCTTGTCAACATTTTTAGATTAATCAGAGGAATATCAAATGAGGATGATTCAGTCAGATCTAATTTCCAATGAAACTCATCTTGACATATACTAATTGAGATTAAGTGAGTGATAAAACTTTTACAGTTTAATTCTTCTAATATTCTTTAACACCATCAACCAGGAAGCGTGCATATAGCAATCATCAATAAAATATAGAACCTCTAATTAAGTTTCCAATATAAAATCATACGTACATGAAAATCTTTATTTATGTTAGTTATCATTGTCCACTATAAAAATCTAAAATTGTACATTTAAAAAATATATAATAGAAATGTCACCCTACTAGTGACCCATCATTTCCTTTTCCCTCCCTACAAATTAATATTACACTACCTGGTAAATTCCATGCTTGGATAAATTATGTTAAGATAAGGTTTAACTATACATAGAGAAAAATAACATGCATACTAGTTAGTGATTAATATTAGTGTTTTTATTTTTAGACATGACTAGTTTAGTACAATAATAATACTGAATAAACATGTATTTGTATTCAAATATTAAAGGGAATATGATTATAACTAATAAATGTAGCAATTGTTCGAAAGAAATAAAGCTAGCAGACACATATTTCATTATGCTAGTCAATCTCATACATGCAATTATTTATTTCAAATTCATTTTCTTTCTTATTGTCAGCATTCTTTATCTTAAAAATATCATATAATATTTGTATAGGATTTGACACTTCTAATACATTAGGTCGTCACTTGGTCCATCTGTCATAATAACCACTGATAAATGTTGGTTAATCTAACATTGTACTTATCAATGTCATCTTGATACTAGCTAGACTGTTACAATCTTAATATTAAGAGTTGAGAATTCATTTATTTCTCTGCTAGAGCTTGTATTTCTTTGTGCTGGTTATCATTATAGTAGTTTATGTATCATGTAATACATAATATTTTCTTGATCATCTTTGTTCATGATAATTATTTTTTAATGCATTTCAAAGTTAACATGAATGATCCTGTTAATAATTATCTCTCTTAACATGCACCATAAATATAATGTGACTTGAGCTATTCAATATTTGTATCTTTTTATGCATTTCTATAAACATGCTATGAATTGAAACTGAACATACAACCATATACATGTATTACAAAAATTCTTCCAATTATAACCTTTTTTTCAATCAATATTCTTTAGATTTTAAAAAATATAATATATTAATAATTTGTATGTGCTTCTATATATCAAATTATTAGAAATAAAACTTAGAGTTTTATTAAAATAATTTTGATTATTTTTGGGAGGTGTAAAAATGTGGTATAATTTTTCTTAAAAAAATTTCCTTACCTTTTTGTCGTTTTTAGATATTGCAGAACATACCTATGAGTTCTTAAATCCTTGAATCCTCCTCAACTCTAATAAAGTCAATGCCTCACATACTTCAACAATTGAAAACCGCGTCCTGTCCACCAAATAGAAGTATGCCCTTATATTCTCTCTCTTTATGGAACTCATACATGCCTACCAAAAGGTTGTCATCATCACAATTAATCACCTGTACTATTTCTTTTACCATTCTCAGATTTATTGTTCAAACATTTGTCATCTTTTTACTTATAGGATTTAAGTTTACATTATTCATTTTTCTCAGCAACTTGATAATACACCTGTTATTAAACCCAAAAATTGGTATTAAATTTATTTCACGTTCCATGTGGAATTTAATGATTTTTTTTATCTGTACGAGACTAAAAATCTCCACCTTGAAGTCCATATAAAGCTCTTCTTTTTGTGTCATCATTTCAATCATATAAAGCTCTTCTTTTTGCGTTCTTATTAAAATAGTAAACATGTAGCTAGATAGATAATACAAATAGTTTTATTATTAATAAAATTCCATGAATAATGTTAATTCAGTCCCATCAATATTCATAAAAATCTGGATATATTTTCTATTATCAATAAGATTGTTTGCTTAAATTATTGACTAGCTTGATATGATTATTTAGGCTCAATTACTGCTCAATCCTTATTAGAAAATTAGTATGAACGTTTGAATAAGATTCTAACACTCATTCATGTTCAAGCGTTGCTTGATTCTAATAAGAAAATAAATAAACGTGTTTGAGAAGGGTAGTATTTGCCTCAACTCAATTCATTTGCAGCTCTTATTTCAATAAGCTCAACATTAAGCTCTGCTCTATCAAAGATGATAATTGGGCAGCCAATAGTCCATAATTTCTTTAAAAAAAATGATAATTTAACAAAGCGGATTTGCAAAGTTTATTTAATAATAAATGAGTTTTGTTAATTATTACACTGAGTTGATTTACTTTAGTGATTTAGCTTCTTTTTTTTTTCTACAACTCTAGAATAAAATTAATTTTTCAATTTATTTATGTCAGAATATGAGTTATCCCAAAAGCAAGCTGAAGCCCTATTGGATATAACGTTGAGGAAACTTACTTTGCTTGAGGTACTGCGCACATCGCTTATCTTGGGTGTCATCTCCTATGTTTGAGGTTTGTATAATTATCTTGTTTTATGTATCTTCTTGTTGAATGTTATTATAACTTATGCAGAGAAAGAAGTTTGTGGATGAAAGTGAATCATTGTTGGAACAAATATCAAAACTAAATGAGCTTTTGTCTAGCGAGAAAAACATACTTAAGGTAATTGCTTTTAAGATGTTTCATCGTACAAGGTCTGCTATTTAATCTGTCATCCTTGGTGCATTATGTTTGTCTTGTTATGTTTCTCTTGTACATGATTTACTAGTTGACTTGTTACAAATTACAACCACATTCGTTTCTCTTCTTTATTTACCTTCACAACTGCATTCTTTAAATGTATAAACTGCTTGCCGTTAGAGTAGATTTATCTCCTTTGAAAGTTAGGGGGAAAAATTTCTTCTCTCAACTTTTTTGACCGGATGTATCATGACCTTAGCTATATTTAGACTAGATCAATGAACTGGCAAAGGCACAAGGATTACAGCATTCTGGATACATACATGCATGCATACATTCATAAATACCGGCATACATACATTATTTATATATACCCTAGAAATGCTAGATCTTGAGAGTGGAACTTTTCTTCTTTTTTGAATATGTGCTTCTGAATTGGGGACATTTTCTATAGCAAATCCAATTACCTAATTGCATTTGTGTAATCTTTTTAAAATGTTTGCAACTCAGAAAGGCAGTTTTAGTTCAAGTCATGAAATGCTATTAAGGAAATAGTTCAATGACTAAGATCGGGCATGAAGGCGAGTTTTTGCTCTCCAAATTATGTACATTGTCATATCTTTTAATGTTAGGACATCTTTGCGTCATGCTTCTATGCAGGTGAAGCTTGCAACATTTATTTTATTTCCATTTTTTGTGACCTAGAAGGTCATGAACTAAAGTTTTAAACTTATTTCTTTGCTATGCAGAAGTAATGTTGCATGCTTAACCTCTTCTAAGTCTTTGTATTTACTGAGATCTCTTGCATTGGTCCCCATTTTTATCTCTTTTCTACTTGCATATTTTTTCCACGTTATTCCTAGATATCAAGCATCATTAAATGGGCAATTTTATCCTTACTAATCGGCTCATGATTTAGATTGCATTGAGTTAATTAAAAATATTATCCAATTTTGGGTGGTTGATTTGAAGGCCTTCCATTATATTTGTAATGGTGGTAATTGAGGTTTTTTATTATTTCTTTGGAAAGCGGAATAATTATGTTTTACATGGAGTTAATGTTTCATAGGTTTATTTTGTAGAGCCAAATTAAATTTCCTAGGTTAGTGATGTGCGGAGCCCGATTAGTGTTTATAGTTCAGCTTCAACTTATGGGAATTGGTTTCCCTTACTCTAGAGAAGAGGAAGTGTTGTTGGGTTGCGGTGGACCTTGATGTTATCTCGTTGCATAGCTCAGTTGAGTAGGGAGGTTTCCTATCTCAGTTGAGTAGGGAGGTTTCTTGTCTCTTTGTGGTTTGCCTTCTGCTTAGATGACCTCCTCTATGGATAACAGACGCTATGTATTGATGCAACCATATCAGAAGAGGGCAACTATAGCTTCTATGAATTTTGATTCAATCAGTCAATCCATGAATCGAATTTGTGGATTTTGAGCTAGCACTGAAGATCAGTCTAACCATCTTGAGCTTCACCTATGAATCATATTGCTGATCTATATGACTTGATTGATCGTTTTACTAATCTTTGTGCATTGGTATGTGATCAGTCGACTCGTGGTTTTCTACCTTACCATTGATAGTGGATTAGACAACGCATGTTCCAGCACCTTGAATAACTTGAAAACATAAAATTTTTATGATCATATTTTTAATGCTATCATTCTATATATTATTATGCCTTGATGAGGTTCCCTACTTTGATAATTCTGGTGATTAACTTGATATAATTTGTCACGCTATAATTGACAATCTTTGTTTAAGAAGAAAAGCAGAAGGGTTAGGGTACAAAAAGTAATAGCCTGGGTGGGTGGTTGATCAGTCTTCTCCAGTCAACTAGACGATGACAACTTCATCAAATTTAATTTTCAATGACATCTATCTTGACTTGTTCTGACTTCCACTCAGCTGGACGAGTAAGTGGAGAATTGTTCCAACCAAATCTTCACAAGCAAACACTACATTTCACTTTATCAAATATTCATTGATATCAAACAGAAATCAGGAGGCTTCTATAAATAACACTCAAATAAAATACAGAGCTTCTGAAAACACTTAAACATTTTTTTATCTAGGCCTTAATTCAAGAAATAGAAAGCAAAATCTTAAGAAAATTGAATAACTCTAGTGCAAAACTTACAGAAGTGAATATTAATTTAGCCTGTCTTGAAATTCTTCAAGAGATATTCTTGGAATTCGTGAAAGATTTAATTTGGGGTGACAGTCATGCGTTTATTGAAATTATTTAAGTGAAACCTTTGGGATTAAGCGTCTGCTCAATCAAATTAAGGCTAAGATTAATACTTTGGGCTTCAATTAGTTCAATTATCTGTGGCCGTTATTTTTTTGAAAAGATGAAAAAGGATATGATGATTTTTTTGTTTTTTAGAATATAAAAAAAGTTTTAATATAAATATGATTTTTGAAAGTAACATTTTAATTTAAAAATAGATGAGACCAAGCGAGTCTCTCATTTTGGATAGTTTGGATGACTAAGCACGTTACCTCAAGTAATATACTTATTCCGAAGAATAAACATATCACTTGTAGTAGGCTCAATCACTTAAACTAAAGAATTTGTGACATCCGTTTGGTCTGCGAAATATTTTATATGAGGCCAACAAGTTCCCCTACCTAATATGAGGATTAGATAAGGTTTATTTTACTTGGGTTTCAAGTTCCATATAGAGACAAACCCTTATATGACCGTACATTTTAAATGACCGAGGTCACTTAAAAAAACTCTCGATTAAGATCAAGGGTTTTATCTTCCGGATTTCAAAATTTAGGTTTCCAAGATTGGATACGGGAAAATCAAACGGGAGTGGCTAAAATAGGAACATTTATTCTAAGAAATCCAAAGGAGCGAAGAGTAGGGGATATCACAGATTCAGGGAGAACCCTGATGACCTCCCAATTATCCTATTGTTTGGCTTTATATCTTTGAAATGATGTTATTTAATATTTAATCCTACAATTTATTTAAAATTTTGGACTTATATTCGCACTTTATTCAGTCGTGCAAATGACCTAAAAAGATAAGAGGATTTACACAGTATCGTACAATAACCTCGGAATCCTAAAGTGTTAGGACTTATAATTGCACAACAAAGTTGTGCAAAAACCTAAATGTGATATGTGAGAGTTTACGTTGTGCTAGGCAAACTATCTCGAAATCCTATGTGTTGTTGTTTAAACTAAGAAAAGAATTAGTGATATGAACTTATTTTGACTTTGCAGATTTATCTCGAAGTTGTTCCTCGTCGTGCTGCCCACGGTGTTCGTTCCAAGCTCCTCGTCGTAGCACCCTCGGGTTTGATTTTAGTCTTAAAGTTATATGTAATTGTTTAGTCAACGCTCTGCTGCCGGGTACCTCCTATAAAACCGACTACTGGCCTCCTATTCTAAAGTATAGTGTTTAACAAAACAATAAAGCATGCAGTATAAAAGAAAAGACTAGTATAATATACAGTAAAGAAAGAGAACAGTATAACATGTTGTGAGAACAATATAACATACTGTGAAATAAAATGTTGTAATGTAAATCAAACCTGTATATTTGGGAGGTCTGGTGCTTCGTTAAGCGAACTAGTATTCACTGTATAAACAAAAGAAAGACATTTTCTGGAAAATTTGAGAAAATCGACAAATAACCCACAATAGAAGATCCGAGAAAATTGACGAGTAGCAATTCAAATAAAACCATCAAAGTTATAGGAAAATACCAAGATAAAAAGAGACCACGAGTGTTTTGTCCAAAATCCAATATAACTTACGAAAAATCCGAAAAGAAGGGACCGTAAGCACTCGGGTTAGGGCTAGGCTCAAATAATATATTTGTACTTGAGGGATGTCGAAGGCTATTATCGGTCACCCGGATGTATAAAGCCCGACACTCAACTAAAAGAGTGTCCTACTGAACCTAACTTAAGAGGGTACTTCTTAGCACAGTATCGGTAATTAACAAGTGGACAACCAAGTGGTAACACATTTAAAATTTAAATTTTAACATGCACATATCTTTCAAACATACAAAATTAAAATTATATCAATTTTGTCGTGAAAATATATTATTATTTTTTTTATATAAAACATTGTATCTGTTCTTATCAGTTTTGAAAAAGGAATAATTGTCCACGAGTCGATCACGCCATCAGTCGTAGGACCGCCAACAACCTAAGAGGGTACGGGTCCCCCGCTAGTTTTGTGTCGATGAATGATACTTTCATCTTACAGTTCATCAGGTCCCAAGATTGAGTCCTGTTGTTGTAGGATGAGATATCATTCTGCTCTATCATCGGTGTGCCTCTGTCATCATCACCCTAAGCCTCAAAACAAAATCGACATATTGCGACATTGCTTGATGGTTTCATATATAGCAAAATGCTATATATGAGTGCTTATGTGTTAGACATAAGCACAGAAAACCGAACTAAGAAACAAGAAAAAAAATAAAAAATAAAAATGGGGATGAGAAAGAGGAAGAATTGATCCACCCAAAAGGTCAAAAGGATAAAGGGTGAAACAATCCTCAAAACTGTGACAAAAATATCTGAAAAAGAGAGCCCAAGATCCTTGAATCAATCCAGATGATATCATCTTCTCAAATTTTATATAACTGGATCAACCCAATAAGGGTATCCTCTCCAAATTTTTGTTTCAAATAGATTGAAATGGGCCCAAAAATAATATTACACTGTACCCATGGCTCCATCACTTATATGCACTCACACATCCATGCTTGAACTCGAATATAGTGTTTATGTTCTCCAAGCTTTAATGTTAAATCTCCAAACACTTTTCCAAATGGCAATTTTATAAGCTTTCAAATCCCAAAATAAAGAGAATAATCCATAGGAGCAACTTTCTAAATCCTCAAAACCATACCAGTATCCAATCCATTCAGTTCCACCTCTTTTTAGAAGCTTTCCGCAATTATATAAATGTTCCACCAATTTAGAAAATATAGAGGTGCTTACTACCAGGACAAAATGAACATGAATAATCCTCCACAGGCTCACGGGTAACAGCAGGAAGGAGAGCAAGGGCTTACGGGTAAGGCTAAAAAAAAAAAAAATAGGGGCTCACGAGTAATACCAGGAAAAAGAGTAGGGGGCTCACGGGTAAGGCCAGGAAAAAGAGCAGCCAAGCCTCACAACAAGCCCATAAGTAGAAATCATGAAATGCACAACCAAGCTTCAACATAAACTCACAATTTAAGACAACAACTAGGACAAAACGCACGGGCAGGGGCAGTAGAAGAAAACCAAGCTCGAACCAACTATGTCACAGACCAAGGAACCTCCACAGTAAGGCTCACGGGTAAAGGGCAACAAGAGGAAGGCCACAAGGGTAACAAACACAAGATAAGGCTCACGGCCAAGGCCGCGGGAAGGAGACCATCATTATTTAAGCTTGAACCAACCATTTTCAACATAAAAGAGCTACTAAAGAAAGCTCATAGCCAGAGGAAATGAGAAGAAAGTTAAGTCCAAACCAACCACAACCCAAATTACAACAGTAAGGCTCACGGCCAAGGGCGGAGAGGAGAAAACCAAGCCCCAAACCTAGCAAAGACCATCCAAGCAGGACAAAAAGAAAACAGCTAGGATGCTCACGGTTAAAGGAAGCAGACCAAAACCACTAAACATGCTTCACGGCAAAGGGAAAAGTCGCCACAAATATTACCATTGTGCTCCTTTAATATACATAAGAGAGTGAATGAACAAACTCACATAAACTATTTAGATTGAAACAATTCTCATTAAATAAGACATGATAATGAGTTGATCTGTTCGCATTCCACATAGAAGTAGATATTGAAATCATGAATTTTGGGATGACAAACTTGATTACCAATAAAAATCTCAGGAGAGACGTTAAAGAGGAGCCTCCAACCAAACTGTGTCCAGCAAAGGGGAAAACCGAACCCATCAAAGGGATACAACAGAAAAGGATTCCAACCAAAACACAATCTCAAAAGGAGCCAAATCGAACCCACTAAAGGGCCAAACCGAGCCCAACACAGAGGCAAACCAAGCCCAACACGGCCAAATTGAGCCCAACACAAGGGGAAACCAAAATACATTTTTATCTTAAGTAAACCCAGCAAAAGATAGCCCATAACAGATAATTTTTTTTTTTGAATCAAACCAATTCCTTCTCTTAAACCAAATTAAACCCAACATAAAGGCTAAAGAAAAGAGTATAATTTAAGTTAAAATCGCACCCACCAAGTGGGAAAAACAGACCAGCATTTCCAGCATGGATTCAACCCAAAATAACCAAAACCGAGCCCATCAACATTAAAGGCCAAATTAAACCCAACAAACCGAGCCCATCATAAGTTCAATCCCAAAAGAGCCAAACCGAGCCCATTCATATAAAAAAAAATAGAGAAAATTTTTAGCATAAGTTCAATCCCAAAAGAGCCAAACCGAGCCCATCCATATGAAAAAAAACAGAGAGAAATTTTAGCATACATTTAATGCAGAAGAAGCCAAAACCGAGCTATAAACAAGAATCGATCTCAAAAGAGTCAAAGCCAAATTCAACAAATGAGTCAAAACAGGGCTATCAAAATTAAATCTCTTGAAGCCTTATATTTCAAAGTATTGCACCCAGTACATATTCCAAATAGTAACAAGTAACAGGGAACGATAAACATAAACGGATTCCTAATGTTAACATGTTATCCAGTATTGAAACTAATTCTAACATCCATTTGGATAAATATATATAAAAGAAAAGCTCCAACATTGCATTTTCATTCCTAGCATGCATTTCATAGGATAACAACTAAAACTTTCCAAAAAGAAATCTTATTCATCATGTATCTTGAGCAGAAAAAGAAAAGAAGACAGCCATATTATGCTCTATTTTAATGTTTCCTGGAACTATTTCTTTCTTAAATTTCAGAACAAGCCCAAATCTTGCTTCCACATGCTTTAGAAGAAAAAATAAACATTTTTGGATGCCATGCAAAATAGTGCAGAATAGAGGGAAGAAGGGGAATACCTTTTTAATGCAGACTTAAAGCAAAAATTATAAGACAGATTCAAGAAAACCACTCCCACAACAATCCTCTTCCTAAAAGCTTCGAGAGACAGCAAACCACAAGTCCTTCAAACTCCCAACACACAAGAATCTAGCCTAGAGAGGACTTCGGCAAAGCTTCCTTTTCTAAAAGCTCGAGAAAAAAGCAACCCACGAATGTATTGAACTCCAGCACACGAGAACCTAGCTAGGAAGAAATTTCGGTAGCAATTTTCCTCCTTAAGCCTCAAACAGTAAAAACTCCAACCTCGCTTTCTCTCAAAAAAAAAAAAAAAAAATTCAACAACCCTTGGCAGTCAAACACACAACCAAGCAAGAATATGGAACCGACAAGCAAGAGTATCGAGCAACCCAGAAAGGTGTCGAGCCACTGAACAGGAAATCTACACAAGACAAGATTTTGGCAGCAGCTCCACCCTCCTTTTGAATTTTCGGCCAACCCTAGACCTCCCCAAGGTGGGATTTTTATAGCAAAGAAAGGAGAGGAGCATCCACCTACCAGCCTCACTGATGGTCGAATCAGGTAAAGGGAGAGGAAAACATGCATTTAGGGAGGAGGAAATGCAACCTAGGCAGAGGAAGAGTCAGCCAGGTGGAGTTTCACCGTTGGAAAGCTGCTCGGTCGAGCGGAGCTCGAGGAGGCGAGCCGCATGCGTGAATGGCAGAGGAGACACGGGAGAGGAAGACTCGGGCTGACGAACCAGGGCTGTGATCGAGTCGTGCCTGAGAAACAAGTTGCGGGAGCTAGGACACGCTCGAGCGGCTACATGTGCGTGAGTAGGGATGCCGCGTGTGGGTAAGGGTTAAATAGGGTTTAAGATTAAAATATTATTATAAATACTCATATAAATATAAAAATATTTAATATTTCAAAAATAGAAAATTGATTTGTACTTTTTATTCGTGCGTCACAACATAACAAAAATGGAATGTCTTTTTAGGTAATTTTAACGTTCTGGACGTGCTGACGCGGTCCGCTTCACCGTCGGAGGTCGTTTTGACGAATTCATTGATTTTGCTTGTGCGCGGAATTATGACAATATGAGTGTCTTTTCTAGCTAAAATTGGTGCTCCGGACGCGTTGGCGCAGTCAATTTTGTCGTCGGAGATCGTCCGGAGAAGTTAACATTTTCACCCATCTTCAAGCTCAATTTTAGTTCGATCTTGTGCAACTTAGTGAATTTTGTGCATTTTGTGTGTGTGTGTGTGATGATAAAGTCCTAAAGAGGTTTTCCTAGGGCTTGAGATTCTATTAGGAACTTCTCCTTGAGCCTTCACATGATAGTCCTTTACCACTCGACCATAGGACGATGAATTTGAGATCATCAATGCGAGACATCACAAGAGAAATAGGAAGTGGCTGAAATTTCTAAAAGGGTGTGTCTCAATTGTAGTTTTTTAAGATAGTCAATAGGAAAGTCCTATGGCTAGATCCTAGGATCCTAAGGAAAAGAGTAATGACCTCAAAATGAGGTCAACATTATCTTTCAGTGAATTTGGAAATATTTGCTTTATTATAGTTTTGGGGTAACAAACATTTTACTGCTTTGGTGCTGTTGAAAGTCTACATACAGTCTGTGTTGCTGCTTACACTTGACTAATTATTGTCTTGTGAATTTCTCTAAACTGGTTTTTTGTTCTGCAACAGCTTATCGTCGAGGAGGCGCTTGAGTTGAAGAGCAGATTTGGAGCTCCAAGATGCTCATTATTGGAAGCTGGTGATGGTAGCCAATTTGAGGAAATTGATGTTATCCCAAATGAAGAAATGCTGCTGGTAAATGCTTTTTATTTATTTATTCAGCCAACTTTGAAGGGTTTTTTCAATATAAAATTCATATCGTGATTTGATCTATACTTGGCAATTTTTTTCATTCTGTTTGCTGTTCTCCTAAATTAAAATTTTATTCTTAATAGACCCTCAGTGAGAAAGGTTATCTTAAGCGGATGAAGCCTAACACCTTCAATTTGCAAAGGCGAGGAACAATTGGAAAGTCAGTTGGAAAGATGCGAGTAAATGATTCTATGTCTGACTTTATTGTCTGTCATGCACATGATCGCATTCTTTATTTCAGGTAAATAAGATTAAACGATTTTTTTTGTCTTTCCAAAATTTTGGTCTCATGTATTCAGTGTATTATTTATTTTTTTCTTTTTTTTCCTTTTTTTTTTTTTGGGTAAATTCTAAGCTTTTCATGCATCTTCTTGTGTCATCCCTCTTAAAGTTTTCATTTTTAGCATATTCTTGTTTGGTATTTTTTGCCGACTCTTGAGCCATTATAGCATAATTGGTATAATTACAATTTCATAGAACTTACTCTTAAGATCCATGATATTCTTTCATGGTATTGTATTTCTAAACACTCATTTTTAAAGAAGTGGTTTTAACTCTAGAAGTCATATTCTTTTTTTAAATTAGATATAAGATATTTAAACATATGGCATAGTAAAATATGGGACTAGCATTCACTAGATTTTGACACACTTGTATTTTATGAATTTTATTCTTGATTTTGGAGTGAAGAATATAAATGATTTATTTAAAATATAAAATATGAATTATATCTTTAGATAAAGTTTATTTTCAACATGTCAAAATGAGATGTAGAGTATTTTTTATAAATATGAGAATATTGTATGTAAAATACATGCATTTTTTTATGTTTAAAATGCACACATTTTTATGTTCATGTATTTTATTATTAAAAGAAGTCAACTTGCTAACTTTGCACATGATGCCAAATTTTACTCGATTGTCTATTAATATTGAATGATACTTGTTATCACATGCTTAAACATTGTACTTATCCTCAACCTCTTATTTTTTTAGTTGTCTTTATTTTAAGAAATTTCAGCTTATTTTAGCAAAAACTTCAGATATTAGAAAAATTCCATTTACAATATTATGATACTATAATTATGATTAATCATATTAAAACTAGTAGATGGTCTATTAAGCATATATTTAATAATTTAGCATACATTTTTCCTTAAAATACATCGAATCAAGAATTTTGGTGATTAATTTGTTGCTTTTGGTAAGTTCAACCAAAACCATAGTATAATCCTGTTTTAGCTCTTTATATTTGTTAAATTACTTTCTTTAAAATAAAGATGGACTTTATAATCGATGTTCATGCGATGAAGGAAAATCATTTATTTATTTTGATATCGATGTGATTTTTATAGTATCTTACATAGCCCTTTCAAATATTTTTTTTTCCAGGGCCCGTTTTGATAATATCTGTCATGTTAGATATGCAATTCCTTATAAATACCACAAATCAAAACATCTTCATTGTTCTTAATATTTTTTACAAAAATGCTTTCTTTTTTATTATTGGACATCATCATAGCCTTTAAAATCTTCTTAAAAAAAGTGTTAACTAAAATTCTGTAGTATTTCCCTAGTCTTTCTAAACATAAGTTGTTTCCTCACGCATTCCTAAAGATTTAGCTTTATGGATCTTTATGGGAGCTAACCCAATTTTAGATCAGTTTATAATTTATTTCATGTCTCCACGTATTAAAACTTTTTTAAAAAAATGTCTTAACATTTTCCTTCAACAATTCTACGAAAACATCTTTTCTTGATTTTTTTATCTTTCACTAGTCACTATGATCATATTATTCTTGCTTTTAACATATATTGCTTATTTAAAGATTTTAGATGTCTTTTTTTTTATTTTTTTAATATTCTTTTCTTAATACACTATTATATGAACTATTAAAAATTATTCCTTTTTTCCGTTTATTACTCTGGTTGAGGGGTTTGTTTGTTTAGTTGCATCAGGAGTGTAGGGGAAATTAAATGCAATGGTTTAAAATTTCAAGTGTTTGGTTAGAAGGAAATAAAATACAAAATAATTTATTGAAAATTTTGGAATATTTTTATTTGTAAATTTTTGTTGTATTCTAAGTTTATCCAAATTGGGCGAAATCTGAATACAACACAGTGAGAAACAGGCAGTGCACTTGTTACGTGTCCCAGTGACCTTGCCATGTTAACATCACTACTTCCACACAGACAATCTGCTGTAACTCCTAACCTTGTTACAGTTCCCTTTACAACTTTCTATCGTTACTATCCTCAGTATGTCTATGCCTTAGATTTGGTTTATGTTTACAGCCAACCAATTACAAAAGTTGAATTTTATAGATTTATCTTATATTCAATCAAACAGTATTAAGAAATTAAAGTGCAGTATAACTAATTTACATGGCATTTGAAATACTTCAGTATCCTAAATACTTGCAAATTAGCTGCTCTGGAAAGCCTCTAACTACCATATAATCATTTCCTTCCATATTAGGGGATAATGTTGTCCCTCCTTGGCACATTTTTTATCTTTGATCATGCATATTATGTCCTCAACTATCAAATAAATTTTCTTATCTATGATCTATAGGGCTACACAACTTATCAGGGAAGCATGGATTGACGAGTAAGCTAAAGAATTCTTTTGTTATGCCAAAACGAAACTACTTTCTATAGCCATCATCTCCTGAATTTTCATGCTAATTTTCTCAGTACAGCAACTATCTAGTGATGTTGTATCTCATTCGGTTTGCTTTAATTATAAAATTTTATTTTTCTTTTCTTAAAAACTTATCTTGAAAGATTAATTTGCCATATTTAAAGTTTCACTATTTTATCATTAAGGAAAATGTTAACATACATATTTGATTCACAAACTAAGTTGGTTAAATGCTACAAGAATGATGGAAGATTGGCATAATTTTAAAATAAATTTATTAAAATATTTGATTCATATGAAATTCACCTCACCATTAATATAAATTAAGCTGTGGCTACAACATCAATAAACTACCTGACGAGGCCATTGTCAAAATGCATCATGAAGTGTGCAAATGCATTACATATTTGCTTTGAAAAGTGTACAAATGCACTATGCAAATATATTAAAATTCGTATAAATGCATTATGCTGTTGCTATGAAAATTATGCATGTTCATTATGTGGGTGCACATAAAGCCGTGCAAGTGCATCAAAAAGCTTGCAAGCTCTCTAAATTTTCTTGAAATCTATGAAATTGAATGTCGCATGTGCTTCAACAAACAAACTAATTGCTTAAATTTGAAATTTGAGAATACTGAGCGGACTAAAATTAGGTTGAACTGAAAATTTGCTCCATCTAAAAAATTTCGCTAAGCAAATTTCAAATCTATGAAATTGAATGTCCACTTGTCTAACAAACATATTAAGTCTTTAGATTTAAATTCGGAGAATATTTTGTGGGCTAAAAATATGATGAACTTAAAATTTCCTTCACTAAAAAAGCATGAAAATTCTCTAATTTACGTTGATTTCTATGAAACTAATGTCTGCATACTTTGACTGGTATACTTAACGCTCGAACATAAGGTTAGAAAATGTTGCGCTGGTTAAAAAAATAAATAAATTCATTTTTTTTTATTTTGAGATATATGCAATTGTTCTAAAAGGCTTGCTATTATTTATTTAAAAAACAAATTATTTTAAAGTTCAAAATCTCAAATTTGAAATTTTTGTGTGTTCTTGAGAAAGTCCATAGGTCCATTTCTCCATATCACAAGTATCAGAGTTGACAAGATTTGTGTTAAATAATAAAATTTATTCTCATATTATGATTCTAATAAAATTAATTCATTACCAAGGATTGAGCATTAAATGTTTACAAGCAAAATCATGTGAATGTTATTTTGTTGGTCATTTGCATGCTGCATTCAAATAGCTTTACAAAGAAAATTTTACTTCAAAGAAAAATCTCTCAATGTTGTTACATTTGTAAATTATAATAATGAGTTTAGCTTACATAATTGAATTTTTATGTATAAAGATTGAGTCGACAAGATTTGTAATGTGAAGAATTTTTTAGATAATTTTAAGTCATTAGCAAATCACGAATCAGATCCTAAGAAGGTAGGTAAGCAAAGCCAATAAGATCCAAACTAGTAAAATAAACTATTTCAAACACCCCATTGATGGAAATGTTGACAAAAAAATATCCACTATAGGGGATCCTTATTATCTAAATGTCCCAAAATTTTAATGAAAATCATTTTAGTCTTAAATCTTGAGGAATGATGGTAGATTCAAGAGGATTATAAAATTGAAGCTCTTTTGTGTGAATTTCATCGCTTAAAGTTAAGAGCAAATTCCATACACAATCCACAACAATTTATTTAGTGTGACATGTTTAAAATTAATATCATATCATAAAGAGCCACAGTTGGTGAACTTTATCGTGTAACGACTTATCCCCGAATGCCGTGTAATGATGTATCCTGGATATGGCATAATAAAACATCCAAAATGCCATGTAATGATCTATCTAAGGTACGTTGTAACTTATAATGTGACATTAGAGATCTGATGATATCTCCTAACAACAACTGTTTATGATCACCGTATACAGAATACGATATTTTTCTAAGGACTTCTGATGTTTTCTATACATCGTATATTGACAAGTGTTGTCTCTGGCATAAAAGAATAAAACCTAAGAGAAGGGTTGCTGCAACAAACTGGTGTAGCACCAATTGCAACCTATGTAACTAATTGATGCTCTTGGAGTGACCCACTATGATCTTTGGTGAGTTATTATTGTAGCATTTCACTATGGCCTACATGACTAACTTTCATTATTACAATCTTCCACTATAGTCTCTGTGGCCAACTGACACTTTTGTAGCAACCCATCACGGTTTATGTGGCTAATTACCATTGCAGCTTTCGACTACGCCCTATGTGGCTCACTTCTGTCAATGCAGTCTTCCGCTATAACTTCTATGACCAACTAACATTTTTGCAGCGGTCCACTATGACTCATGTGGCCAATTAGTGCTCTAGCTTCCCATCACAGTCTACGTGGCTACCTACCGTCTTTACAGGCTTCTTTTACGGCCTATATGATCAATTGTTACCATTTCAACCTTCCACTACGGCCTCCTTGGCAATTGCCATCATTATGGCCTCCCATTACGCCCTATGTGTTAAACTTTTGTCATTGCAGCCTCTCACTACCACCTCCATGAATAAGTGCTATCTTTGTAGCATTTCACTACGATCTAT